TGTGGCATGAGCCCGGAGCAGCGGGTTCACAGGGTCCCTCCTGCCCCACACCCGCCTCCTTGTGCTCCCCTTGCCCAGCACCCTGTGCCCGGCATCCCGAGAGACGGAGCCAAAGTTAAGAACAGGGAAAGTTTGACTGAATTGCAGGACTTTTCCCCCTAATTACCCCGCGTACTCGAATGAGAAGAGTTTCACTGCAAAATGAAGCCAACTTAGGTTGCACAGAATGCTGTCCCAAACGCGCCTGTGGCCGGGGCTGGGCCTCTCCAGCCTTCTCAGAACATCTGTGGCTTTGCAGCTCTTTGGAGGCAGGTGGTGGCAACGTGGGCTGGTGCTGTGGCCTCCGTGAATTAGTAGGTGCCCCTGGAGAACCCACTGTGCTGAAGGCTCAGACCTCTGGGCCAGTTAAATCTGGTGGCCGTAGGATGCACAGCGCAGGCCAAAACGTGGCAAGGTGACCCTTGAGTTTTACACGGGGTTGTCCTGCTAAAGAGCTTGGGGGGCACTGGAGAGCTCTTGGTTTTGCCCTCCTCGTGTGATAACCCTTGGGGAAGAAGTGATTTCCCCTTAGGAAGAGCAGCTAGCAAGGCCACCGGCACGAAGGTGTTGGGGAGAGTCAGCCTGCCCTTGGGACTGTGCTTCAAGCAGGGCAAGAGGATGTGCCTGCAGCCCCCAGGACCGTTAACAGCAGCAGATGTGTCACTCCTTTCTCTTGCAGGGCATATACCCTGTGGCCTCATCTGCCACCCTGATAAGGAGCATGTTCTTTATCCCCTGGGATGTACTGTTGTTATTCAAGACGTGGATAGGAAGAAACAGCTTTTCTTGCACGGCCACACCAACAATGTCTCCTGCGTCGCGTTGTCAAGGAACGGGGTGTACGTGGCTTCTGGAGAAGTCACCTGCATAAGCTTCAAGGTGAATAATGCTCTAATTTCAACTGCGTAATATTGGCCAAAGAAACTGGGGTTGGCTTGCCGGTGGTGGGAACACCTTTAGTTTGTTTTTTTCTGTTGTTGGAAAACACATGCCTACAGTGGGAGGATGTTGCAGAGAGCATGAAGTTGTGGCTAGTCCATTGCTGGGTATGTGTTTATATTTCTGTAAAGTATTAAGCAGTCTTGCTAGGACTGAATTAACTAGATTGAGAGATTTCTTAGTTCCAGTCCTTTTTACCCAACATGTTGTGGGTATGTGGCAGCCTAAATGTCATTAGTCAGTAGTTAATAAATGGTATTATACTTCAAGAGTGACCTGAGTTCCAGAGCTGCTTAGGACTTTCAAAAGCCCTTGACAGGTACCTACCTGCATTTTTAGACCTCTGAAGTTCTGTATGGTTTAATTTTTGCCTATTTGAAAAGACCCCGAGATGCCTGGAAGGAATCGAGTCTTCGCATTTTCAGTACTTTAAAATCTACGTCAAATAGTGTCTCAGGGTAAATTTTGATTCTGAAATGACTCAGAGCTACTCAACCTGTAAGCTGGAATTAGAGCAACTAATCTGAAGCATATTCATGTCAGAGGAGCCCTGGGCAGGGTAGAAGCTAACCGTAAGCCGGGTTGCTTCTAACAGCTTTCCTGGCAGAGAAAGGTGTTCTATCTAATCCTGCATGTTCTATCTAGTGCTCTGGCTTTGACCCCGTGTTGCTCTGCCCCTCAGGCAGACATCATTCTGTGGGATTTCCAGAAGAAGGAATTACTGGCTCGGCTGACACTGCATAAGGGTAAAGTTGAAGGATTAGCGTTTTCACCAAACAGCCTGTATCTGGTGTCACTGGGAGGCCAGGATGACAGCAGGTAACGATTTCCGCTTCTTGGCGTGAGGCTTGTGACAAGTTGTAGGGCAAGGAAGGGTGCTCTTAGGGAGCACTCGCTCCTCCCTCTTCTGGCAGTCTGACTCTTTGCCCTGTGGATGTCTTTCCTCAAGGATCCAGCTCTGTGGAGCGGATACTCCAGGCGGGTACTGTGGGCAGAGGACAGGGTACAGGGCAACAGCTGAGGGAGAAGACGAGGGGAGCAGCTAATTCTTCAGCTGATGACATTGCCCAGAAATCTTATGGAATCTGCACTGTTAACTGGCTTACTGCACTGCCCTGAAAAAGTATAAATATCCCTGAGGGCTTGCTTTGACACTCAGAACAAGTAAGAGTGGAATAAAAACTTATTTTAAATCAGATTCTACGAGTGGCCTAAGATACGATTTGAGTTTTGTTCAGCAGAAGGAATCTGACAAATACCCTTCCCCTCCTTCAGGAGCAGGGATGTAAACTCCAATTCCACATGTTTGCGATAAGGTTTTTTCACGGGTAAAATCTCTACAAAGTGACTTACTGTGTCTCCTGTGGGGAACAGACTGCAGGAAAATAGGGTCCGTCTGGCATTTGTTTTTTCGTCGTTGGTTTTTAAGAAATGTCACAAAGCAAAGCTGTTTCAAGCCTCTCCTTCTCCTGCAGCGTGGTCGTGTGGCACGTGGGTAGGAGAGAGGCTGTCTGCGGGAGCCCTGCCTCGGCACGCAGCGCGGGGAGTGCGACCGTCGTGGCATGCTCCAGCTGCAGAGACGAGATATTTGTTACTGCTGGGAAGTAAGGTTTTATTCAGATGAAAGAAATGAGGGAGAGAACACGTGGACCTATTTCCTTTTACAAAGAGTCTTTCCTTAAGTGCAAGGAAACTTAAGCTGCTGTGTGCTCATGTTTTTTCTTTTTGCTCTGAATGGACCTACGCATACCCATCAGCTTGTCCCTTTAGGGCATTTCTGCTTGTTGTACAGGTAACAATATGTTTTCAAAGCAGCACACAGGGAGCTGCCTGCATCTCCTCTGTTCCTGACAGCAGGATTTTATGCTCAGCATTCCCCGTGCAGTGCTTGAAATATTTAGTTGCCCGTGTTTCCACAAGAAGAGCAGTCAGTGAGTGGCTCTGAACAATGGTTAATTAATGTAGAAACAATGATATCTTGCAGGTCATGGGATCATCCCCTGTCACCACCAGGTGCGATGTACAACTGGTGACTGGCTGGTAGCAAAAGTTCGTACAAAAAGTCACCTTTTGCATGGATTTGAGACAGCCCCCATATATCTCAGCTGCCATTGAAACGTGTTGCAGGCCTGCGCCTCCCTTTACAGCAGGGAAGGCTTTGGATGCTCTTGGCGGCAGTTGCACGTATGAGTGCTGGTCTTTGCAATTTGACCTCTCTGTTAAATGTAAGGCTGACTGCGTGTGAAGGTTTTACATCGGCTCCGATGTTGTCGGTTAAATTGTGCTGGAAAACAGTTGGCAGTGCCCTGTACCATTCCTTTCCTATTCTAGGAGCTAAGATCTCCACAGTGCACGGCTCTCTGGCATATGAATTGTTACATACTCCTCCGTAGTCCTGGTGTATGTTTTTGCTGAACCTTTGAGATTTTTGATTTATCTGGAAGAAGTTCCTGCAAGAGACAAGTCTTTTTGCAACAGAGACTTACTTCTGGCCTCCTCTCTGATACTGTTCTTCTCCTCTTTATTAATATTTTAGAATAATATAACCTTGTAAAGGCTTTTTAATTCTCCTAATAGTGAAAAAACTTGGATGTTTCTGCATATAAGGATTTGATCCCACTATATTTATTCTTATAGTGGAACCATTCGAGTATGGGAACTGGATCTAGCAAATAGGAAAATCCAACCAAATGAATGTCAGACAGGGCACCTGAGAAGAGTGATCACATGTGTTATGGTAAGTTTCAGCCAAAAGGATTTGGCTGAACTAAGGAACTCTCTGCAGACTAGGTAAAAAAGGCAAGTTTTTATAGCAGTGCCAATTACAACTGCATGATGGCAGTGAAGTTACCAAGTGTTGGCTCATGCCAGATGGTCTCCTACAGTTTCTTTATCCTGGGAAAGAATGTTTTGAGAGCTTCTGAAGAGAAGCAGCATGTATTTTAGTCACAGGCTCTAGCACCCAGAAGATCCCACTTTTGTTTCAAAATATTCTCTAGATTTGGTTAGAAAATGCCTTGCATTCCACAGTGTTACAGATCTTTGAGTGTGACGGGATGAAAACATTGGCTGTATCCCTTTGGACTAACTCTTGGCAATACACTGAAATAAAGCTATTTGTGGAGCTCAGTGCTCGACTGGGACGTGTGTCTGGGTATCCAGACCGTGATCTCTGGTTTTGTGCTTTCCTACAGATGGCAGATAATGATAATTATTTTTATGTGGGCACATCAAGTGGCGATGTCCTGAAAGTGAATACAAACAACAAGCTGATGACTGACCATGGGCCTCAGAAGGAGAAATTCAGCTCGGTGAGTAGCAGCTCTGTGACTTGAAGTTTTTCTTATCCTCTTCTTTGGTAGTAACTGAACACAGGGCAACCTCCAGGAGAAAAGGTGATTCACAGACTCACCCTTCCTCTGTGCTACTAGCTTTTTGTGTCCCAGTCTTGATGCTGAAGTCTGAGACCATTAGCCCAACTTTGTTTGGGTTCATTTGACTCAGAATTTGGGGTTTACCTGGATCTCATGTGTCATCCCACAAACTTTCTTTTTATCTGGTGAATGTCATAAAAAGTGAAAAACAATCATGAAAAGGGAGTTGTTCCTGAGCTGTTGGCTTTTTTTTAGGAAGGTACTAGCTGGAGTGAGACAGAGGAGGTCTGGTAGAAGAGCTTATTTGAGAGGCTTTTCCACACTTACTGCTCTGACGTCCTATATTCACATCTTCCAGATTTATTACATTGTCCTGGCTGAAATTTTCCAAGACAGCTGTTTGCCAGCAGGAGAGTATTTTGGAAAAACTTCAAAACACTACAACTGCTCTAAAAAAAACCTCCCAACACCCTCAATTTTTGTGATTGTTCCCAATACCATTCCTGCCCCTTCCCTTCAGAAGGCTGAATTCTTCAAATCCCAATTCTGCCACTGATGAGGCCTTCCTGAAAAAGGTCGTAGAGATGTTATAATGAAGGGGTTTATTGTAATGCGTATGCCCAACTGGGAGAAAACAAGGTTGCACCAGGTACGTTGCCTCTGTTGCTTTCGTACTTCTGCACGCCTGACTTCCTAACTCCAAAGTTCATTTAACTTAGCTTATTTTTTGTCTCTAATTGGGACTCTTGGGTGCGGGTATGAGCATCCTCAGACAGGAGTATCTCCTGAAGAAGGAGCTTTTGGCCTTTCCTTGTACGAGAATGCTGCATGCAGGGAGCTGTAAAGATAAACAATCAGCACCAGCTAGTAGTACGCTTGTTCTTGATTTCTCTTTATTTGCTGCTAGAAAAGACTTCTTGTAGCTTCATGGTTTACACCCAGTGGAGGGAGGGATACCTCAGGAATTTAAACACTTCCCTGAAAAACCTTCTTGTGTAAGGTTGAATGTCTTTGGCGGTTCTGTTAGCGACCATGAAAAGCAGTGGGCAGCAGGGGAGGCAATGCAGATGGAAGGACCGAACGTACCGTTCGGGGTGCCATGGGGAAGCTGTCCTACACAGCAGCAGATCTTGTCGGGGAGCAAACACAAGACTGGTAAGAACTGTAAGAAAAATTCAGCAGTCAGCCCCAAAGAAAAAGCTACTCCGGGCTTGTTTCTCTAAACCTCCTGAACTTTGCTTGTAGCAACACGTACCTACGAGCCATACACATGCCCATTCAAAATGTAGTGTTCCGTGCATTACAGGGGCAGGCCCGTATCTCTGGGATAACTCGGAGCCACTGAATTCTTTGAAACGTATTTCAGTGTTTATCAATTCCAGAAGGTTGGAGAAGTTATTACTTGATTTTCCCACTTGCATTGCAGGAATCTCAGTAGTTTAATCTGTGTACATAGTAAGTGACAAGAACGTATGTGCTTTGTTTTCCTGATGGGAATTGTAAGTTTGCTGAAGGCGCATGCTCCTGTGGGTATACCTGTACTGTTAAGCAGTCATCCTTCAGGCTTTCACATCCACACAGGACCCATATCCTGGCTCATCTCTGCTGGCTCTGATGCTGCGGTCTTGAAGATTGAATGTCACTCCCCTTTTAAATGCTTGCATGGTTTGAGCCCTTCTACCTCTAGCAGGTACCTGGGCTACCTGGTTGAAGCCACACAAGGTCCTGAACTCCCTTGTTTTCAGGTGCCAAATGCACTTGAAACAGACCCTCACAAACGTACTTCTGAGAACATTGCTGAAGAAGCAATCCAATAGGGTCATTAGCAGGACGCCGTGCAATTGGGGGTTGAAAGAGGGCCTAGGGCCTCTTAGAGAAAAACAGAGGCTCAAGGCCAGACCACAGTCCAGTCTGTACTGTGGGAGGGTTTTATCACAAGACAGATCCATAGGAACGACAGTTTGCAGCACAGACCTTTAGAGCATCGTGGGCTTCAGCCGGCATGACTTCCGACGGTGAAAAGCCAAAGAAAAACAGGACCTCTGACGATGCAAGAGACTGACAAGATGCTAGGGAGAAGAGAAGGCCCAGAAATGGATCTCGTCACAGCTGCCTGCCACCCTTGTGGATGAGAGCCGGGCTGGTAGGAATTAATCAGACTTACACTTAGGTCTATTAGTGTTATGTAACAGCAGCTACTTCAGCTATACCACTGGTCATTCTGGGAGAAGGGAGAGAAAAGGATATATTCGCACTGGATGGAAATAGCAAGTCATCCTTCCAATCTCCTCCTTTACCCTGTTGCTTAAAACAGACATTTCTGTTCAGAGGCATGTTTTTCAGTCAGACAGGTGCTCAACCCTGTCACCCCTTCTGCTGCTTCCTTCCTCTCTGCTCTCTTCCCGCACTCCTGCCAATGCAGTTTTCCTGTGCCCAAAACGGGGAATTCATCAGGGCAAACCTGCAGTGTTGCAGTCGGTGAGAAGTTGCTGATACATTTTTCTCTCTAGCTACTGTCAGATAGGCTTCCGTACTTCGCAGTTTTCCCTTCCTAGCTCCGTGCTGTGATTCCCTTTCCAGCCACCCGTTGCACATCTCTGCATACAAATAATGCCTTGTCACTAGACTGTCAACAAGTCCTCCCTGAACGCACGTAGGAGCTAATGTTTTATGGCAGCAGTTTCCTATCGTAGCGGAACCTTTAATGCCAGAAGAGAGATTTTGCAGATGCTTTATCAAGTCAAAGCCACAGCATTTATCAAAAGTATTTGCATCCTTGTTTCTGCACAACTTAGTACATCATATTGCTAACCCTAGGAGAAGTGTCAGTCTTCATTCCCCTCCCCGCTGCAGAGCTGTGTGTATTTCACACCCTTTGTGTCTGTTTGGAAAATGTACCCTGTATTAGTACTTGTCACAAAAATTCTCACCTCTCTCGCTGTGCCAAGCGGCGTTGCCGTACAGCTTCTTTCAGAACTGAGCGATGCCCTTCCAAGGTCGGCACGACTGCTCCGAAGTGTGGCTTCTGGGACACGCGCTGCCTTTCCTAACCAGGCATTTCCTCGCTCCCGGCAGGGAGGTTGGCTCTACAGCCTCCAGTGGTGGAACCGTCTCTGCCTCGGAACCCGTTTCATCGCCTTGTTGCAGCGCTGCCTGAAAAGGTGCGTGCTCGTGAGTGAACCTTCCCCTGCATCTCTGAAAACCCTCTTCACCGGGAATTACCAGCCTGTGGCATAGCATGAAACTGAACCTGGAATCCACAGCCACCCCGCGACGAGCGTATCTTTAAAGAGAGGGTTTCGATACTGCTTGGGTGAGGAGAGGCTGTTTATTGAAAGTAATTTGGTCAACCTTAAAGGAACTTTGCCGTCAGATGTGTAAGAATGTGTTTATTGCATAGACACGATCTGAAGGTGTCTTTGTTTCTGTTTTGAAGAGGAGTGGCAGAATAGTTCACGGGCATGACGAAGCAACTTGTTTTCCATCTACATGGAATTAAGTGCCTTTCTGTAACATCTGGAATACTAGAATAAACAGCAATATTAATTTTTATCCCCGTCGCACGCTTGAGGAGCTATAAGGCGCCCATTCAGACGCACAGTGAGTTGTAGGATTGCGAATGCGTTTTCAGAAATAGTTGGAATGCTTTGCATTGTAAAACAAAACCATCTAAAGGAGGTATGCTGGGAGAGTTCACGGAGCGCTCCGGAACTTTGCGAGAGATCAGAATGGGACAAAGAGCAAGTATCCCTGCGGGGAAGGGTATGGGCAGGCTGGAGTTCTGCTGGTATTTTTTATTTATAATCATACTTCAAAGCAGTGGTTTCTTTTTGTAAGGAGTAAATAATGAATGGTGATATTTTTAACCTCCCACATTAGACTCCGCATTTCATCTACAAGAGCACTGGCGTACATAAAAATGGAATATTCATCGTTAACTGCTTGACTCTGTGAATAACAAGTGCCAAGTATTAAGCCAGCTGTTTACTCGTGGTGATTCAGACTGGACGAGAGAAGCACAATTGTCGAGTTACGGTTGAAATCAAACTCTGATGATTTTGAGAACCTGGCAGTGAATCCTGGCCACTTTAAGGTGGTTTATTTTCTGTCTTACTAATACCCACTTCGCCCTCCAATTTAAGAACTGAAGAGAATACCTTGGGAAAATCAAAGCAGTTTGAGCAGCGCTGCAGAAACTTTGATTTATTAGCAAGTAGCAGGGAGCTGCAGTCAGATAAACGACGTAGTCACAGGTTTGATTTCTAATGCCGCCACCTGCCATAATGCTGAACGCAAAGGGCACCGGAGGTGGAAGTCTTTTACAGGAAAAACTGCAGAACAGGAGATCAAAAGGTGGGCCTGTGTTAAAAGGGGCTCGCAAAATGCTGCCAGCACCTCGTAGGAAGTTTTTAAAAACATTGTTCAGAAACAGTTCTGTTTGTCGTTCGTGTTTCTAATTAGAAAGAATCCCTTTGTTCTTGTGCTTTTGCTAAGAATATTTGCATGAAACCTGGCTTCCTGCCTGGTAGTGTTGTGATAGTGCAGCATGAAATCCTCTCTGGAGGTCCTGGTGTTATAGGAGACTGTGGATATGCTCCTGGTGGAGACAGACTAAGGAAGAAATCCAGGGCAAATAATTACAAATCAGGGATTTCTTTTCCTTTTTTTGTTTTTGTTTTTGCAATCCATATTTATTTGATCCTGAAGTTAAATAGTCCTTAAGCCGACGTGTAGGTAGGTACAAGGCTGCTGGGAATGCCAGCCCTGGAATGTGCGCTTACCTATATGGTGATTTTTATTTTCTTCAGAAAGTATAAGCAAGACTTGAAAAACAACCGGTTGCTTCTATTTGGTTGAATAATCGAAACAAAGTAATTTCTCTGAATTCATCTTTATCTGTGGCTTTTGCAACATCCTCTCTGGGTCTGAACAGCTGAAATGTTCACTTTGTTTTCCCTTCTTTCTTCACTCCCTCTCTCGTTCCTTCGAGCTTCAGCCCTTTCCACACAGCAAATAAACACTTTCTGGATTTCATTCTTTTAAACGCTCTGAAGGTGTTTAATCCTGAAAATGTGCTGGGGTTGGACCAGGTTAAAGGTTGAAAAGAAGAGGGATGCTGGGTGGTGCTGCTTAGATGTCAGCCTTTATGATAAAGTGCTGATGCCTGTGTTTGTTCAAAAATCACAAGGCAAGCACGCAACAGTCACTTGTTCCCAAAGAATAAATGCAGAATTATTCTGATTTGCCTCTTGATTATTCTTTGAGCGTTGAGTTCTTCATGCTTTCGCAACACTACATGCTGGAGGTGGGGCTTTTTTCCCCGAAAAATCTTCACCAAGCAGAAACTGCTGTTTTCACATTATGGCACTAAGAGCTCGGGCTTAAAGGCAAAAAATGTGCTGGTACTCCCAACAGTTGGCAGTGCTGCTCATCAACCCAGGTAGCAGCAACTGTTGCTGGAGCCCGTATCACAGCTTAAAATGTCAAGCTCCACCGACTCTTCGCAAGCCACGGGGAGCCTGGAGCTGCTACCAGCTGGCTTCTCTGATTTGGAACCACTGATGGCGATGAGTTTCTGCCCTCTCGGAGAGCGTGGAAGTGCCTCTCGTACACGCTTCCTTCGTGACAGAGCTTAGTTTTCAGTCCAAGTTTGGATGGCATAAAGCTCCTTGATTTCCTTTTTTTTTTTCCTTTCCATCTCACTCATCCATATGTTTCCCCTAAGCCAGTAGGGATATTTTTCTGACTAAGAATATCAGGATTTAACCCCACAGAAGTCACTTCACCCCTCTTGCTGCCTATCTTGGAGTCTTTCAGAGATTTTCAAGTATTTCTCTCTCGTTTAAGGAAGAGTAATATTATTTCACAGGTAGCAGAACACAAGCAGAGACTGACTTTTCTTATATTTGAAATTTTGTGGCAAGGCTGAGAACTGTTTTTGTTCAGACAGAGGATCTGTAGGAAGGGACGCTTAGGCTGAGTTTTACCCCCTGTTGTTTTCCTGTCTGATAGATGAAGAAACAGTGGAAGGGAAAGTAGAGGCACTAACACAAAGCGTGTGTGTTGCTTGCTGGAATGAGGCAAGGATATGTAGGCTCATACATGGTCCTTGCTGTGCTGGAGGATTCAGGATGATGCTGTTTGCTCGCTCGTACTGTTACAGTTCACATATACCTGCAATGAATAACTCCTTTCTCCCTTCTCCCTCTAGAGAGCCACTCTTTAGCCTAGGTCAGTCAAAGGGCACCAATAAAGCCAGACTTGAGTGACATATGCACCATCATCGGGAGCGTGATAGAGACTCCGTTGTGCTATTCAGCACGGCTGCAGCAATAAAGAGACTCTGCTTCCATCCAATTGTGTTTTAATCCTGTTTTCTCCTAGGGAATCACAGCTTTGCTTTTGCTGAACACAGGAGATTTAATAGTCGGCACCGGAAGAGGGATTGTAGCGCTCTGTAAAGGCTCAAACTACAAAGTAATGAAGTGAGTTTGTAGGTACAAGAATCAGGAGGGTAGAGGTAACAATTCCCCCAAAAGGTGACAGTATAGGAACCAATCATTTCTATGTAAAGGTATGATGCAAATAAACCTGGTTTTCAGTCCTGCAGACAAAATAGACAGTATGTTTCCAGCGTAATGAAGTTAAAGGAGACTGAAAATGATTGCATGCATTGGCACAGAAGTGAATTTCCCTGCTCATTGTTCATTTTAAATGACTGTTGTTTCCTTTTAGGCATTAGGAGTGAGCTCCTAAATTGATGCAAAGTGAGACAGGTTTGCTGAAGCCAGTAAAATTATGCTTATTTCGCCAGCTGAGAAAGAGTGGTATTTGCCATCGTAAAAAGGGTTTGTTGGAGGATATGGGATTGTAAAGGAGGGCTCTGCTAATTTTATAGGCACGTCTGGAAGTGCTGGAGTACTTGCAAGGCTTTTTTCTGCAGAGAAATAGAAAGCTGCAGGCGTCATTTCCCCGTATGTGACCTGAAACTTGGGCTCACAGCTATTCATTTTGCACCGTTTGAATAGCCAGCTTAGGCACACATTTCTGCAAGCTTAGCTTTGTACAATCAAAACTATTCCCAGAAGGTCTAAACTGTCTGGAAATATTCTTGACTATGGGATATTTAAGAGCACTTGAACAACAGTGTCAACAAAGATGCTGTTACCTTAGGCCCTGGTCCAGAAAACAAAGTCTCCAAAGCGCTGCCTTCGCAAGTCCTGGCAGGTGGGACAGGCAAGATCATATGAAGTATGAGCGTGTGACTGGCAATGAAATCCTAGTCCTGACCACGTTCTTGCGTGTTGATATGGCAGCCTAGTGTGGAGCTTTTGGGGGAAGCAGGGCAAGTCAAGTCTCTCCTAAGTCAGGGGAAAAAGGAAGCTGGAAAATAAGTATCTCAGGGTCAGTGTCAGGCCAAACCTCTGCTTTCTCTTCACAGGAAGATTCAAGTTCACGGTGCTGTCACTTCTCTGACATGGAGAGATCAGGGTCACCAGTTCTTTGTAGGGACAAACAAGTGCCAGATTTACCGAGTTGACTACACTGCATTTAAAGAGGAGCTGATCGCCAACTGTCACAACGCAGTCGTCGACGACGTCGTTTTTGCCCTGTGAGTATAACTGGCTGGGATGCTTTTGCCTGGTGTAGAAGTTTAGGTAAGCTGCCAATAAGGTCAGGATAGCTACGTAAACCCCTTGCAACCAACAGGAACCCAAAGCCTACTAAGATCCTTGGGGGACGATTTGTACAGGCAATGCTGTCACCTGCCAGTGAAATGCAAGGGTGACAGTGAGCAGCTGCTTGAAAGCAGAAGGCAGCAGTCTGAGTTTGAGAATTGGAAAAATCATTCGTCTACAGAGAGAATTCTAAATAAAAGACGAGAATTCTTTGTGTTTGGGTGACGGCAGTGATGGCAACCCCCCTTTTTCTCCTAGGGTTGGTGCTAGGAGAGTCGGGCCACTTAGTCTGCCAGCAGTGTGAAGCCTGAAAGTCTGCTTTTGTGTACCCTGTTGCAGCTAGAGCTTGGGGAGGTGTCTGCTTTTCTACCCACCTGTAACATTGGCTGAAACCTGACTGACACAACTGTTCAAAGAGGCTCTTGGGGTCTCTCAGCCTCACTTATGATTTCACATTTGACAATATGGCATGTTACATTAAATTCTAGGCTTGTGAGGAGAGATGCTGGGTGTACCTGTCTGTGTTGGTCTTGTGAACAGGCAGCAAACCTTCCCTCTTCCTGTATAGTAGGATTGTGACACTTGATCTTTTCCAGAGAGTAGCACAATGGACAGGTGGTTTCCTCTCCAAATAGGGAAGGAGGGTTTGATCGGATGAAAGTGTTTCTTTTTGGCATGCTGCATCACTTTGTGACACGGCACAAAGGATCAAATCTTACGGTGAAGTGCACGGCGCGGGAAGCCCTGCTCCCTGCTTGTCACCAGCCTAAGAAACCCACATCCTTCTACTTTAATGAGAAAATCAGTTGGAGCTTTGGGGTCATCTGATGCTAATACACCTGCCTGGCGCGTCTGCGTCACAGGGGTGTTGGGATGAACTGGATTTAGTCATGACTGTAGGGACTACAGGACTACATCCTTGCATACATGTTTAACATTTTATCTGTTAACTGCTCTCCAACAGAGCATGTCACTGATTGGGAATACAGGCTTAATTTCCCTATTCTGGCCTACTTCAGGGTACTTCCATTGCTGATGTTACCCAGCTTTATACAGCGCCCATGCGAGCAGGGCTTGAAAGGGGCTACGCTTCTGTTGTGCCAGTTTTCTCCATCCTGGTTCCTCTTTCGGGACAGTGATGTTGAACAAAAGCATGTGGTGCCTTTCTAGATTTCACTCTCTCTCATATCCCTAGGATGTATGGTTTAGAGCTTATTTCAAAGCATTCAGTCCCATAGCCTTTGAAATGCTGCAGGTCTTTTTTATTCAAACGTATCGGAAGTGTGTTATGAACAGGCTTTTGCCATCATCTCTGTTGCCTTCAGCAGTGCTGAATAGGAATCATGCAGTAAGCAAGATAAAAAATGACATCTTCACAATGTGGGGCGGCTGTTAGTCCCTGATGTTAACTCTGGGCAGTCAGCACCTCCACACCCATTTCTGTATCTATTATATACAACACGTGAGATTGTTTTGAGCTTGGATATGGGAAATAATGTCACAACTTGAGTCGAAAGGTTTCTTCTCGTCTCACTTTAACTGTTCCTTAAAATGAACACTTTGAACAGAAACCAAACCAGGGGAATTTTACGTGAGAAAGGTGATGCTATGAAAAAAGCCTTTTTCCTAACCATAGTGATGCCAGTTGGGAAGATTGCAGTTGCAGGTTAGAAACAGCTGAGCTTTGCCGGGTGATTTCACATCTGACAGAGAAAGAAGCATTTTCTGGATGCCCCTCCTCATTGCCTCTCCTCTCTGAATTTTTCAGGGGAACTTCTGACCTGTTTGCTACCTGCTCCAAAAATGAAATTCGGGTGTGGCACACCCCAGAGCACAGGGAGCTCCTGCAAATCGTCACCCCCAGTGCAACCTGCCACGCCATAGAGATTATGCCGGATGGCAAGAGCATCATTTCAGGTAACGGTCGGTCCAACCCGTGGCTGAGCCCCATCTTCAAGTGTTGCCAAATGTAATAACATCAGTATGTTAGAATGAAGAGAGGATTCAATTGGGAATGGGCTTGAACTCAGTTCATTGCTTGACCCAAAGGCTTCCTTGCTTCCAGCTGGTCCAGGGAACTTTGCTCACGACTCCTGGCAGCCTGGTGCTCTATTTAGTGTCTGTGGAAGGCAAGGTTTTGAGACCTGGCTTTGGATGGGAATTCCAGCAATTCCCACCTCAGTTCAGTCTTATTCACAAGACCCAACTCTAAACTATGAACCTGTTGCCTGCAACAGATTAACCCGTGATGTGTGCAGGGCGCCTTTTGCAGAAACCTGCCACCCGCCACCCTAGGCAAATTGCTTTCACAGGAAGCACTGCAGTCCTAGAGCAGCGACGCAGTCCCTCCCGTTGTTACCAAGCCAGATGGCCCCTAGTCGGAACCAAAACCAAATGAAATGTTAATGGTTCAGCTGGGGCTATAGCTTTGTGGGCTCCTCTGCAGTAGAGGTTTCCCCGTGTGTACTGGTGATCCAACGCGGGCCTTATAAAGGAACTTAATAAAACACCGAGTTCATTTGGAAAGGAAGGAGAGACAATAACATGGGGAAGGTCTGTGTGCCTGGGTAATCTGCTTCTTTATATTCATCAGCGTGGAATGACGGGAAAATCCGTGCCTTCCTGCCGGAGTCTGGACGGCCGATGTATGAGATTAACTGTGCCCATAACTTGGGAGTGACGGCAATTGCTGCTACGAGTGACTGTAAACGGATCATTAGCGGAGGAGTTGAAGGGCAGGTAATTTTTGCATAAGAACCTGGGGCAGCTTTGTGTTCTCATCACAGGGCCTGGGAATTGTCTGCAACCGCTTAGTCAGAACGTGAGCTATTCTTAGCTTTCACTTGAGCAAAGGACTGAGTGAAAATATTAGCTTTTGATATATGCAAATCTCTTGCTCTCAGAGGGCACAGTGTAAAACAATGCCCCGACTTCTGCTGGCATGGTAGTCTCCAAATCCTTCTAATGCAGAATATGCTCTTAACCCTTTTTGTTCATTGGTCTCTCCCCTGTATTTGGCTTAGCTGCATTAGCCATTGTTTGCAAGCCTCTGTCTAACTGTACTCCCTCACAGACTTTCTTTCTGTTGTTGCTTTGGGAGTCCTAGTCCTGTCCAAACTGACCTGTATGAATTCATTTCATAGCACAAAGTTCACTTTATATTGCTGCAGTTTCTATGGGATACCTTCCTCGTTTTCTGGGATGGTACAGTCTGGTTTAGATGATGGTGTTAATAAAAGACTCTAATAACTCCGTTTGTAATACACTAATGGAAACATTCCAATAGAAATAGCAGTAAAACTCAGAAATCATACTGTAGCCATCATACCTGTGCGGTTCAACAGGTTTTTACCGGCCATACAAAGCAAACAGCGTGTGCCTTGGCTCCTCTGTGCACTTCACATAGCAGTGGCCCTCTCCAGCCTGTGAAAGTGACACTCCTCCTCCTGTTTCAACAATTTAAACACAAGGGGGTTATTTATATTAAAAGTAAATAATTAGACGTGGAAAGCTCATATTCTTTGCTTTGCACTTCCTCTGCAGTCTGGCAGGCACTCGGAAGCAGACATGTAGTTGTGCCTGCGTTGTGACGGTGATTTAACTGCTGTGTGCTCTGTTTGCCTATACGGATCTCAGGTGTTCGGTGCGCTGTGCTGCAGACTGCACAGCAAGTCTTGAAGAGTGAGGAATTGAATTTAGGTCTTCCAAATCTCAGGCTAATGTCCTAATCATGGAACCATCTTTCTGAGTCATTCTGCACCTCCGCTCTCCTGGAGAGCAGTAGCAGCAGCACTGCCTCCTCTCACTGTCTAAAGACATGAGAGATGATGAGCCACTTCAACCCTTCACTAATAAAAGAGCAATTAAGTACCTGGTATGATTAGCACTGGAGGATGCAGAAGCAGAGGACCTAGATTCTGTGTCGACACCCATGGAATGGCACTGGCTCCGGTTAGTTGATCTCTGAATTGAAAAAGACAGCTGAGACAGAATTAAAGCTAAAGGATGGTTAAGTAGAAATGCGAACTGCAGGGGAGCACTTGCAGTATTCATTCGGAACACAAAAAGGTGTTCTGAAATGCTAACGGGTCTGTCAAAATCAGTCATCTGAAAGCTGTGACTTTCAGGGTTGCTTAAGGGATCCGGATGCTCTGATCACTTGGCAAGTGGGAACTGGGCATCCAGATTGCACAGGGAACCAACCCGGCGTCAGACTTGGGAACACGGAAGGTTGGCGCTCTCTGCTTTTGGTGTCAGTGTCTAAATTTCGAAATTATCGCTGGGATTTGACCTTAGTGCAGTGTAAAAGCCAACAGATGTCCTCAAGTTTGGCACTAGGGAGAGCAAATGCAAGGTGTGAAGGATCAAGCGCTCAAAGAAGAAAGCTTTTGGCTGTTACCACCACTGGGAAAAGAGGTGCTTTCAGGCACATATTTCACATCAAGGATTTAAAGAGCCGTTTCGTATTTACTTAGTGGCATTATATTTAGCACAAATGGCATGTAGCTTTTTTATATTCCATTGCAGAAGCCTTGGTCTTTGATCTTTAAAGCACCACTGGAAATACATCATGGACTAGGTGCTATTTCCTGATGAGGAGATGAGTAAACTGGAGCACGAGAGAGTAGGAACTTGGCAAAACCAAGGTCTGGGTTAATGGTGAGGAATTCCTGAACCAAGTGGATTAGACTCTCAAGAACTCAGTTGGGTTTTATGAGTCAGCTGCACAAATAACCCGCAGGGAAATAGAGGCAGTCCGTTGGGATCCAGTTCCTGTGTGCGTTAGCAGAGAAACAGAGCTCAGGAAGGCCGCAGGCATCTCCTGGGCTCAGGCAGCACCAGGTGGTACAAGAGCTGATGTTTGTTGCTGCTTTTCAGGTGAGGGTCTGGGAGATTGGTGAAAAGACTCACAGACTGGGGGAAGTTCTGAAGGAGCACAAATCTGCCGTGTCCTGCATTAAGATTAAGAAGAACGACCAAGAGTGTGTCACAACCAGTCTTGATGGAACGTGCGTCATCTGGGATATTGTGTAAGGACACAGATAAGTATTGCAAGGCACTTAAAGTGCTGGTGATGTCTCTCTTGGGTCACTCTGCCCTACTTGGGAACCACATAATGAGGAGGCGGGGGAAAAGAGCATTAGGAAGTAAAAGTTACGAGAAAGAACAGTCAAGTCAGGGAATGTAGAACCTCCAATGCTGGCAACTTTTCAGAAAGGTTTAGACAAACATTTGTCTCGAGTTGTTCACATGCATTGCATCCTGCTCGGCCAAGGGGCGGGGGGACACCGGTGATTTCCCAAGTTTCCCACTAGCTCCATTTTCCAGCCCTGTATGACTCCTGTTGAGCTACTGCAGATCATAGAATCACGGAACGGTTTGGGTTGGAAGGGACCTTAAAGACCATCCAGTGCCAACCCCCCTGCCATGGGCAGGGACACCTTCCACTAGAAGATCCACTAGATCTGCAGGCTTCCTGCGTTGTGGTAGGGATGAGGCAATGTTTGCGTAGTGAGTAGCACCTAGAAAGCATTCTGGATTAAAAAATTTAATTTTGTATGACAAAAGCCTTACAAGGCAGCTGTGATGGGGAACTGAACTGATGACCGTGATAGGCTTCATGAAACCCTGAGCTCAGAGCAGTACCTGAAAATACCCAAACAGAAGGAGAGATCTCACGTATAGCACAGGCAGAGATGGGTCAGGCAAAGTCCATTTTTTGACCCTATTGCTCTCTCCTGTTTTGGGGGTGTTTTGCAGGCGTTGTGTAAGAAAACAAATTATTCGAGCCCACACGTCGTTCAAATGTGTGTGTTACCATCCTGAAGAGTACCAGATAATCACCAGTGGAACAGACAGAAAGGTAAGCCAAGCCGCAGGAATTCTGTTTGCAGTAATTGCAAAGCACAAACTCTGGTGCTGGTTACGTGGTGAAACTCCTGTGCCCCCTCAGAAGGTTGTGTTGCGTGGCAGTGCTGACATCCGTGTGCTGTTCGTGCACGACTGAGCTCTCCTCTCTGCTCTGCTCTCCAGATTGGATACTGGGAAGTGTTGGATGGCTCTGCAGTCAGAGAAGTGGAAGGGTCTGCATCAGGCTCCATCAATGGGATGGACATCACGTCAGCCGGGGCATGCTTTGTTACAGGTGAGTGGGTGGACAAATGGAGAAGAGAGGAGGTCATCCTAAGCGCAGGAAAAGGAAGGCGGTGAACCAAGAATCTCAGCAAAGAAAGAGAAACCTAAAAGGGGTCAGCTAAAGGAGAAAACAAAATCACTGAAGAAAAACAGTTAGAAAGAGGCTGTGGTTCAGGCTTGGAAGATGTCATGTAGAGTTGAAGACAAGGTTGCAAGGGAAGAACACAGGGGTTCGCCTTGCCCTGCTCCTCCTTTAGCTCAGTGGTGTTCACCGTGTGCTGGAATGATTTGTCCAAGTGCCTTACTCCAGAAGCCTGGCAGTCTCTGGTGGTTTGCAAGTGGGAGTGACTCCGGGCTCCATCCAGCCTCAGGCTCACATGTTCCCCGCCATCGTGACATCTCCTCGGGGAGCCTAGCACTGGCTTAGACGAGCCATGGTATCGTGTATAACAACTGTAGTTAAGACCCACCGATTTGCTGTCAGCACCAGCTCTGTTAGATGAACCTCTTGAACGAATATTTGTTAAGAGCCTTTGGAAGGCCCTGTGTATTACTGGTACCAGTTGCTGGCTGTAGCTCCTCTGAGCTGCTGGTCCTGAGCACTCTGCTGGGCACTGGCTCTCCACTGCAGTTGAAAAGAAGTCATTTTTGCAATAATGCCCAACACTCTGCATCCCGCTCTCCCTAAACCAAATGAATTCCTGAGCATTCCCCTGCCTGTGATCTGGGAACAAAAAGCATATTACTCTGTGTAATAGTGTGTCCCTCCTCTGTGCCCGATGCAGGTGGTGATGACCGTCTGGTGAAGCTGTGGGACTATCACGAGGGTGCGGTGACTCATGTTGGAGTGGGACACAGTGGCAACATCACCCGTCTCAAGATCTGCCCTGGGAACAAGTACATTGTGAGCGTGAGTGCAGACGGCGCCATCCTGCTCTGGAAATACCCAGCCTTGCGCTAACAGCCGGTACGGGAGCTGCTAGGCTGCTCCTCCGTCAGCCAGTCCTAGCCATCCTTTTCTCTTACCGCTGAAGCTTTGTAAAGCACTTGTGCTACTAGAGCAGATGATAGTATTGTTACACTCTGGTATGCATTCACCAGATCCTTCAGATGTACTTGCTAGCAATGGATAAATAGGTCTGACTTCTTAAGAGTGGGTTAAGAATTTGCTCTTCCTTTTAGATTGGTGTGAAAGGATTTGTCACTTCTGAAAATCACATTGGCTGGTGCTGGAACACTTGCATGTTGTTACTACCGCCTTTCCTGGTAGTCTCCTAGCATCCTCTCACTTGTATGTCTGCTCATTTGTGGGCTCTCTCTTGCTCTCACGTGGTCTGTTTCCCTTCTCTACCCACTTCTGTCTCTTCCTTGAATGAATGACTGGTTGTGTAGATTCAGTCTTCTGTGTTCCTTTTAATTCGCCTGGTCCTGATTAAGGAAAAAGCCCTCAGCTCCGACTCAGGCTTTTAACTGGGAAGCTCTTTTGATTCAAGCTTTTAAATCACTGTTCTCAAAGGAATACAGGGACCTGGGAGCGTCTTCATGTGCGGTGCCCAGTTTAAAACTCTCCTCAGGGGCCTGGTTTTCAAGAGTGAGAGTGCAGTCATTTTTAAAAAACCTGGATGTTTCCAACAAAATACACTCAGATTCCTGGTCTTTGGCCTAATTTTTCAACCAGGTTTCAATTGTGCATGAATCATCTGTGTTGTCTGAGAATGGGTACCTGCTATCATAGCTAGTATTAAAACCCACAGCTCTCAAGGTAGTTTGTTTGAAAATCAGTGTAGGCAGCCAGTGATGCATGTGAGGTGAATATTTCTTTTGCAGGCGTTGAAGGCCTGTGAGAATTCTGTCATAAACTAAAATGGAATGTTGCATTCCCTAGTGGTAAGTCTTGCAGATGTTTCAGTTAGCGAAGATGTTGATTTAAAGGCTGTGTCAGCTAGGTGCTGTCACAGCTGTAGTGCCAGTATTAGCTGTTCTGATAGGCTGGGGAGGTGTAGCTGTGGAAAGGTAGGATTGCTCATTATTCTTCACATGCCATTAAAATGTTTACCGCTCATGGCACAGCAAGGGTGGATCCTTGGGGTATCTGCCTTTACACTGTCCATCAAACACTGCAACTTCTATTCCTCCTGGTCAAAATATCTCTGCTCTTATTAACAGTCTTGAGCGAAGGAATTAAGTCATTCCTTCCTCTTTTTCTTTGGAGACTTGACCTATGCGGCGGTAAACGCTCCGGCAGGTTTCACAGGCTCTGCAGCAATGCTCGCTGTGGTTTGGAAGGCAGGATCAAACCGCTGGAATGTGGGACGGACAGGCAGAACACTGGTGCTTGTGCTAGGGGAATGAAGACAGAAGTGGAGCGTGTGAGGGAACCAGGCTGTCCTGCAGACCCGTGGCCCCACCACCTCCCCGTGCGCTCCTCTCCGGAGCGCAGGATTTTGGGATGCAGATAACTGTTCAGCAGAGTCCCACGTCAGCAAAGCAGTTCCGTTCCCATCAGATCATGCCAAACCTGTCATTACAGGTGAGAGGAGAATCCAAGTGCCCATCGGGGAGCCAGAGTCCTGTTTTGGTGTGGCTATTCCTGGGGTGCAAGGCCCAAAGCCCTCCCTGCTCCTCCTGCACCAGCTGGTTCTTCACGGCTCGGAGGCAGCAAGGCAAGACAGGCTGTCCTGGCCATGGGCACGCGGCGGCTCTGCGGAGGCCGGAGTTGGCACGCTAAGAATAAAGGCTGGTAAACCACACTTTCTGTTGGTGACAGCCAGCCAGGAGGCTCAGGCCCTGTGTCTGTCACAGGTTTAAAACTGGGAGCAACTGGGAGCCTTTGGACAAGTCCTGTCCTGCACATCTCCCTTGGCAGTGTGAAGTGGCATCGCTTTATCCAAACCAGCCCAGATTTTAAGCATGGGCACTGGCTGAATTCGCTTGCTCCGGCATAGCCAGCTGATGTAGGTCAGCGCGCAGGGTGGTTGGCACGCTGTAAGAGCAGCACAGCGTCTCCCCCGTCACGACACAGCGTGCACGCTGCGCTCCGTCAGATCCCTCGCCCTAGTGACCAGGCACAAAGCTGTGCCATCGTATCCTCGCTGCTGCAGGGACAGATGATTTAGGGCACTGACCCACCAACTGGATGGGGAACAGGCGATAAGCACAGGCTGCCAGTGGCTGTGGGACCTTTCAGTCTGTGAGTGTATTTGGAAAAGAGGAGCCCCCATGGCTGAGCCAGGCGCTCTCAAGCTCATCTATTTTCCAAGCTGTACTCAGCTACGCGGCAGCTCCTTCCCCCAGCACAGCCCGGCCGCTCCCGGCACATCTCCCACCAGTGCTAAGAGCGAACACGCTCCTCACCAGCACGGCCGGGGTCCCTGGGGAGCCCCCGGAGCTTTACAAATGGCTGTGACCTACATGAAGACGGCCGAGGAGCAGACACGCGGAGCAACCTGTGCTGCTCTTCCGCCAGAAGTCAGGTTGTGTTCGGAAAACATGAACCGCAGTCACAAATTTCCCCGTGATGCGTTCGCCTGATGGCAGGCACGTTGTCTCTTACAGCGGGACCGTGTTCATTACGCCGTCCTTAGTCAGGGACAGCCCTGGGGATAACGGGGCTCGGTAACGCTGGCACGGGGAGCCAGTCTGCGTGTGCTATTGCCATGAAGCCTGGGAGCCTCAGTGTCCCTCTTCACCCAGGCAGAGGGGGCTAATGCCACTCCAGTCGCATCAGCCGAAGAAAAGAGGGGCTGCTGGCAGGAGGTGTGCTTGCGTACCCGTTGCGTGTGCTCCTGACACCCGTGCCCCTGTATGTAGGGAGTTCTCCTCGGGAGGAGGAGCGGCTGGGGCAGGGCAGGCGCACAGGCACCGCGCGTGCACCAAGCTCCCCTACGCTGTCTTCACTGACTCCAGTGACAAAGGGGAGTTCAATTCTCATCCCTGGAGGAAGGGATGAAGGGAATATCAGTGCCAATCAGGGATGGACTGGGGTTTGGAAATGGCTTTATAATCCTTGTTGTTAGTCTCCAGCTGTGCCATCAGTTCACAGCACAGCACTGGGATCGGAGCCCCCTACCGCCAAGGATTTGGCTTCCAACCCCCTGGCTGCCATCCCCACTTCCTGTGAGCTGCTTTCTCCCGGGCTCAGGCCACGGACAGCGCTGACATACTGCCCTGCAGAAAGGCTTGCATCACCCTTCTTGCCTTCCTGTCCTCAGCACAAAAGCTTCATGGTAAGGTTTTTAACACCCTGGTACCTGAAATTAGTTTTGTGTTGTTGTCGATGGCCACTTCCCTCAGCATCTCGGGGTGTCTGCTTGTGTGGAAATGGATACCCCGGTGCTCACCCCAGCAGGTGCCCAAATGCACGCTGGGCTGGGCTGGGCTGGGCTGCCACGCTGAGAGAACGGGAGCTCAGCTCTGGGCTCAGTGTGGGCAGCAAGGCCCCATGAATTCAGCTTACCTGGACCTTGCTGAGAAGGGTCACAGCACGGACATCTTGCTGGGGGTTGCAGGGCCAAGCCGTCGCAGTGCCACAGCTCTGAGCCACGGGGCTTGGGGCAAAGGTTGGCAGGGGACACCCCCGTGATCTGTGGGCAACGAGCAAGGCACC